CTGACCAGTCTCTAATTGGCATATTTGCATACTGTGTGTATTGCCTCGATACAGCCTAAATTCACAAGCATGGTAAGAAGAGATGGATAGTGGCTAGCAGTGGCCGAGTGGATAACGTGATTGTGTTTGAAGCGAAGGTTATTGGGTTCGAGTCCCAGAGTGAAAATCAACTCTAAAATGTAGACACATCCAGCTGACGAGTCTCAAAATAGAACGAAACGCGCGTCCTGGATTCCACTGCTAGCCACTATCCATGTTTGCTTATTTGTATAATTATTCCTTTTCATGATTTATAATAAAGATGAATTTAAATTTAAATACTGAATATATTATGGATAAACGGGTAACTATTCTATTTCAATCCTCTCTATTAACCAATATACTGAACAGGTAGTAAGAGTTTTTACATTAAACAAGACATTGAGTAGTTGATAAATATGTCATTTAGGTCATATGTATTTTCTGAATAAAATTTTTGTATACTACTTCCGTTACGATTAAGTGAATGTTTCGTATTAATTTACTGAAAAGTTTGCTTTATATATCGATTATACATTACTTACTTACGCCTGTTACTCCCAACGAAGCATAGGCTGCCGACCAGCATTCTCCAATCCACTCTGTCCTGAGCCTTCCTTTCTAGTTCTATCCAATTTTTGTTCATTTTTCGCATGTCTGTCTCCGTTTCTCAAGGTAATGTGTTCTTTGGTCTTCCTCTCCTCCTTTGGCCTTGAGGATTCCAAGTGAGAGCCTGCCTTGTGACGCAGTTGTGTGATTTCCTAATTGTGTATTCTATCCATTTCCAGAGCTTCTTCTTGATTTCTTCCTCCACTGGAATCTGGTTTGTTCTCTCCCTTAGTAGGTTATTGATCATGGTGTCTGGTCAACGGATCCGAAGTATTTTGCGTAGACAACCGTAGAAAATCAACTCGCTAAAATAACGCTAACCAGAAAAAAATAATTCTAACAATTATCGATTATACATACGGCATTTAAAGTTCGGTTTCGTTATAAGGTATAATTTATCATAACTGGTACCTTTTTTATTACTCCTATGAAGCTTCAAGCTTGAAAATTGAAATTGTATGCATAATAACTTGATAGTTAACTACGTTCCTGTTCACCTTTATAAGGTGATTCCTTTATTCCACAAACTTTGTCAGAGTTCTTGACATAAATTTTAGTAGTTTAAGTTCTTTGATAAAAGTAATCTTAATCCGAAATTATGTCGTAATGACTATCTGAATTTCTTAACTCTGAAAACACAAAGTCGTGAAGATAACGGAAATGTCCCTATTACATACCCTTTAAATCATCTCATCGAATTATGGAAATTGTTTTCACAGTTAAAATAAATTCGATCTAAGTGGTTTTGTCAAAATCAGTTTAGACCAAAATTTATATACTCATTATAAGTTGATGCCCATCCAGTCTCAGTAGTATGATAAATAGCGTATTGATATCTGTCGTTATTGACAGCAAGTTTGAACCTCACTGTGAATATCAACACTAAGATGCAGATTAATCCAACCTACTAGTCAAAACAAGAAACGAAACTCAGAATCTGGCTAGCAAAAATCCAACCTTACTTGAATCTGTGTCTAAATGATAATATAAAGGAGATCTACTTTGAATTTTATCTATATCACTAGTCACCGGTCACTCTTATTCCTTAATGTAAACAGCGGGAAAATACAAATCCTTGCAAATACTTTGTCGTAATCTTTGTGTAGTGTTAATATAATTAAACAAACTGTTACTCTGTAAACTGTAACTACACAATGAATCTTACTAGTAAATAAAACCATCTGTGACCCATAGAGGACTTTTGAAAGATTTATCTAGTGTATGTCGATTCTAAACAAATTTTACAAAGCAAACAATGACTTATAAAATATAACTTTTGCTAAACTGACTTGTAGTTGAAACCGAAGGCTCCAATTCAATGATGTGGGTTTATTTAACATTCAGAATAAATCATACGATGCTTGAGTATACCGATCTTTATATTCAGTTTTATGTAAACTGAATTCAGTAGTATATAACAACAACTAATCAATAATTTACTGTGTGAACGCATCTACAATATCATACAACTAGGCATATATAACCAATAGATATAGCTGATTGACTGACCGATGTGGCAATTAAAAGTGATTAAGTATTACTGATAATCGATTTCAGTCGTACTACCGTCGATAAAGTCATTGTTCTTCGTACCAACTGAACTTTAATCACGTCTAATGAACAGTTGGGTAATTTGTTAATTTTTACCAAATCAAAATTAAAGTATAAATACTGTAACCAGTATGGATGGTGGCTAGCATTGAAGTCCACATTTCATCCTACCTGGGACCAATCGGTTGAATTTACCTGCATCTCAGAGTTGATGTTAACTATGGGACTTGAACCCAGTGCCTTCCACTTCAAACGTTATCACGTTATCTACTTAGCTACTTTACAACATCAACTCCGAGATGCAGGTACATCCAGCTGACGAGTCCCAAATAGGACAAAACGAGCGTCGTGAATTCCACTGCTAGTCACTATCTACCTTTGCTCATAAAGCTTGTGACTAAGGTCAATAACGAAGTAGTCCACACAGGATGCAAATTTGTCAAAAAGAGACTATTCAATCGCATTCCTAAATAACAATGGAAAGATACAAGCAAACAATACCAAATGAATTTACTGTACCTAGTAGTTTAACAATATATAGTGTTTGCTTAATTCCTCATCTATATATCCATGTATACCTTTAAATCACTTACAATTCAGCGGCAGATAAACCGGTGATAAATTTCAAATAATAATTGAACAATTCACTAATAATTGTTTTATAAGTTAATTTTAAATACTTTAAAAAGATTATTAGATAAATTATGTTTGTCTGAAATACAAAAGGAAATAAATAATCATAAAGTAGATGTTTATACAACTATATTGTTTGATCTGATAAACATTTTATATGAACCTAAAAACTTTTGTGTTGATTCATGAAAAAAAAAACAACAACATCAAATGAGTATTATATTGTAATGTCTAAAATTAGGGCAAACAAATAATTCAAAATTGTTATATAGTTTTAGTATGGTATAGAATGAATGGATTCATTTGTTGGGATCAAGAACACGTCATGGAGCAATAGAATGTATTTGGCGCAAACTTACTGAATATAATATCAAAAACTGAAAATCATACAGTAAACAGTTAATTTACAAACTACCAATCAATTATCTCAATTTTGATTGTTTCTTCTGCAAATATCAGTCTATAGACTCTGATTATTATTGTTCATTCATTTTCATCCCGTTCTTTTCTTATCGATCTTCTACTGGAATACATTCTATGCCTGACCGTCGTCATATAATACTTATGTGGATATAAGCAACCCACACCACTCATTGAGATATCATGGTAACAATTGAAATAAATTATATTTTACATAGTTTGATGTTATTATTTTGTGACTATACTGTATATTACCTTGCTAGAACACTAGATTACTAAAAATTGAGGAAGTGAAAACATTATAGTAGTTGAATAAAATCATATTATTCTACAAAAAAGCCATTATTAATCAATCAAAGCGTTATCAACAATCGAACGATGTACTAAAACAAACAAATTTAGATAACTTGTTGAAACATCTAAATGTCAAGAACAGGTAGCCCAGATGTTTAAGCAGACCGCCTTTTTTACATACAAGTATGTTCATGATAGCAATCAGATTCACGGAAGATCAAATAATTTCTCTTTATGTATTGAAAAACAATTCTTTATGACCAATTGAAAGTAATATTTTCACTAACCACTTTCTAGCTAGTATAACAGTAGGACATTCTGAAGAGAGAAATTTTTTTTAATATTTTACTTAAACAAATTGATGATTTCTAATTTATTGAATAAGGTTAATCAAGAAGAATCTATGGTTTAAATATGTGTTTTAGCCTTCGTTCTTATGGAGTAAGTCAGTTTTAATATTTACAAAAACGGAAATATCATGTAAAAGTAGATTTTAATCGTAAAGTATATGCAGTACAAATTTACCCTCAAAAAAAATATAGTCATTAAAAAGTTAATTCCATAGTTGAGTAACATGGTTATTCAAAGAAATATCCATATAAAATCCAAAACGGTCGGTATTCCATGAAATGATACAATGACAAATGTGTCAGTGTGGGATTGTAGAGTTTGTTAAGTTTTGATTGCGACCATGAACCTATCAGTATTAGACCATTATTAAAAACATGGAAGCACTGGTTGACCGTTTCCTCTTGGTACGAAACTCCACAACAATGCACATTCACGATCTCGCACACAGGATTCGTACCCAGGACCTTCGGTTTCACTCGCGAATGTTTAACTTCTAAATCACTGAGCTGGCATCCATTAAAACCATTGAATTTGAGCTTGGTGGTACAGAGGTTAAGCATTCGCGCGTGAGACCGAGGGCCCTGGGTTCGAATCCCGTGTGCCAGTTCGTGGATGGGCACTGTTGGGGAGTTTCATGTCAAGAAGAAACGGTCAAGTAGTGCTTCCAGTTTTTCAATATTGATTTAATATTGATCAATTCATAATCTGTATCAAAGATTAGTTTGTCTTCATTGACAACGACTCATTTGCTTTTAGAAATACAAGTTCTAAAGATAATGATGTAGCAGGAGGGTTTTATATTCTTGATGTTGTTATGGTCTTTCAGCCAAATGGTTTAATTTTAAAGCCTTTTTGCCATTCTGAATAAAATCATCAGCTGGTGCAATTTGTTCTACATACAATATTATATTTGTCTTCTTCTACAGGTAGGTTTTTCTACCTTTATAGATGTTATTCAGATTGACTCCTCAGTTAAACCATCTAGCTTAGCGAAAACTACACCATCCAAAGCATTCACCTATGCTACAATTCTCCTCAATCATTTAAAAATTTGATTTCTGACATTTTTATTTATAACACTTATCTAAATTTAATCCCATTTATATCCATATATTTTATTTTAGATGTCATGAATATTGTCAAGCTCGATTAAATTTAATCTTCGATTCTTTAACTGGTCATTCAGATTTACCATCATTAACTAGAAAATCAAGAAATTTATTTGTGAATAATAAAGTGAATCGTCATTCATTATTACCATTACCCAATGATAGAAATCATCCTATGAAAGATGAAGAAAGACGAATATCAAAGGGTAGAACTGTGAAATCTTCAAATAACATTAATAATAACATAAATACTCATAATAATGATAATGATATTAATCAAATGAATAATGTTCTTATTGAAGCTGAACAATATAGAATGTTGTATAGACCAGAATTGGTATTTACATTTAGATTAAATCGTAAATTAATTCAATCATTAGAATTAGGTGAATCATTAATTGATGGATTGAAAAATGTAAGTTATAAGATGTTTTTATTTCTTTTATAATTATATATAAGTGGTTTTATTAAACGGTGTCTTCTCTGGTAGAATCGTTTTGTCCAAGTTTCAATTCTTTTGGTTATAATCTACATTAAATTCATTTTGTATCGTTTGTTTGTATCGTGTCATTGATGTTTAGGACTTTAAATTATCAGTCTCTTGTTAGAATATGTGCATCCTGTGCAGATTGCCTTGATATTATCTTCAGTCACGAGTAGTATAATCAATGATGGATGGTGGCTATCAGTGGAATCCAAGACGCAGGTTTCGTCCTATTTGTAGCTAAGTAGATAACGTGATGGCATTTTAAGCGAACGCTACTAGCTTTGAGTCCCAGAATAAACATCAACACTGAGATGAAGGTATATCCAGCTGACGAGTCCCAAACAGGACGAAACACACATTTGGGATTTCACTGCTAGCCACCGTCCATCTTTGCCTATTATCTATATTGCTCGAAATACTAATCCATATGTTACCAATTGTGTAAACTAATAATGTGACCTGGAAAAAGAAAGTCAAAAATAGTCAGTATAACCATGTTATACTTTCTAACTAATAATTTTTTTCTGCTTTACATTATGATAATTCATTTGAAACAAAATTTCTATACACAAAATCCTTACCTGTTACTTCTCTTCAATAATAATGATCAACTTGTACGGAATGCTATTAATATCAATAAATAAACATATAAAGTTTTTTTGTCTAGTTCTAAAAGATCGAAATTTGAAATTTGATAGTCAGATGTAGTCTGAATTTAGCTATGTAACCTAGATTTTGATGACTTTCTGTATACATCAAGGAATATAATGCATATTCAACATCTTAATCCATCTTATAAATGTAAGCAAAGATGGATAGTGGCTAGCAGTGGAATCCAGGACGCGTGTTTGGGGGGGGGTGCTCATCAGCAGGTTTTTTTTTTGGACAACCAATTGGCATCATATCTGAATCTATAATAAATTAACAATAGTTCAATGAACAAGTTAACTGTTTTATGACTCAAATATATATTTTATTCTTGTACTACCATAATGAATATCAAAGACATTTCATCATGTATAAATGATTATTCATAAATCCAAAGTCTTTATGATATTTCAAGCTGATAAGAACAGCTATCCACTGTTTTAGTTTTTTTTCGCCACAGTTTAAATAAACAGTAATAATGTACATATTCAAACTAACGAATTATATTATCCAGCTTTTCTTATAATGCTTATGAATTAAGGCTATATTAAGGCAATACGCAAAGTATTCATATATGCCAATAAGAGACATGTCATTTTCAGTCCTAAATAAGAATGGGAAGATACAAGTAAACAATATCAAGTGAATTTAAACTTCATCCCATTGCACAAGCAAGTGACTATCAGAACTCAGTAGCTAAGTGAATAACGTGATGGCGTTTGAAGCAAACGGCACTGAGTTCGAATTTCAGGGTGAACATCAACTCTGAAATGCAGGTTCGTCCAACTGACGAGTACCAAATAGAACGAAACGCGCGTCCTGGACTCCACTGCTAGCCACTGTCCATCTTTGCTTATAAATGAATGATATCAATACTATTCATAGATATTGAAAGCAAATGAAATAACAGAGAATAACCCACAATCATTTATTCATCCATTTATCATTAAGGATAAGGTCAAGTTGAAAAAAAAAATAATTTTTTAATGTTTAGTCTGTATTTAGTATTCTCTATTTAACCTTTGATTGTCTTATTACCTTATTCATTTCTGTTATTTAGCTCTTCTATCATTTGTTTTGTTCGTTTGTTTTTATTTACTTTTCTTCTTTATATTCAAATAGGGATATTTCTTACTGTTATTATCATTACTATTGTAATTTTGAATTAGCCTCTTTTATGTTTATTTGTTTAATTTAAACAAAACAATATTCATATTTGAATAATCTTGTCTAACATTGTTTTTTTTGTTTTAATTCACTAGGTAACTTGTTTTGATTACCGTCAATAGATGTCTGTTTGTTTGTTTGTTTATTTCGAATAGAAATTCAAGTTAATAGTAGTTTAAATAAAGAAATTTGTATTTTTGATTAAGGGTAACTCAGACAGTTAGTTGAATGGATAGATGGAGAAAATAGACAGAATCTTGAATTCCCTTCAGAGAACTAGTTATCTAAATAATAGTAGTATTAGTAATGGTAACAATAATGTATAATCCAATGTTAAGTTCATTTTCATTTTTTCACTTGATGGTAACAAAACAAAACGCAGAAATCAGGGGCTTTTTTCATGAATGAATGTTGATTATGAAAATAAACAAATGAATGGTTTGTATGATATGGGTTATTTTTGTTGTTGTATAATGACTTTACAATAACAATATTTAAATTCTTAAAATGGTGTATATTGTAGTATCTTAAAAATGAAACCATTTTATAGAACTTAAATAAAATTAAATACATTTAATATGGAATGAACTGAGAAAGATATTTTTGGAGGGGGTTTTATGGAGATTTTAGTAATTTTATATAGTTGAAATCATGAATCATTTAAAGCTAGACAACCATGGAAAATTTGAAGGCACTGGACAGCTGTTTCCTCCTATTGTGGGACTCCTCAGCAATGCCCATCCACGATCCCGCCTCCCGAGATTCGAACCTAGGACCTATTGGTGTCGCGAGCGAGCGCTTAACCATTATGCCACTGAGCCTGCCGGCATCCGATGGTGTTAATGTCTAACTTCAACCAATCCACGAAATGAAGCAACCATTCACCATTGTCTTCAGTGAGTTACTATCTCACAACAGACTTGTCGAGGAGTCCCAGAATAGGACGAAACGTCTGTCCAGTGCTTCCAAGTTTTCCATGATGCTCTACCTTTAATTGACTAATGATTTAACTATATAAAGATAATTTTGTTCTGAATTAAAGCTATCACATGATATTGGTTTTCATCGATATCACAAACCTATGTAAGTTAGACAGCTAGTGAAAAGCTGGAAGTGCTAGACGGATATTTTATCCTTGTATGGGTCTCTTTGGTAGCATGCAAACATGACACACAATACTCAGATCTCGTGCACTAACTCAACCCTAGGACCACTGAACCGTTGTCTTTCGGTGTACAAGTGTAGCTTCAATCAATTCGGAATATTGCGTGATGATTTTTCTTTGTATTCAGTGAGTACTTTCCTCACATCCGGTAAGGTTGAACTTCACAAGTCAAGGCTTCTCACCATTCGTGACCTAAAAAAATCCTATGTCGTGAATTTTTATTTGATAATATTAAATAAGAGACAGAAAATTAATTTTTAAAGGTGCATTTACTGACCACTGAACAGTAACCAAATCTTGTCCTTACAACCGCCTTAATTCTATCAGCTACGTTGCAATAGGACCGAACGTAATGGTCAGTTGAAGGTCAAATAACCGTTGATTATCAGTTTTTAAAATAACCTGGATCCACCTTTCAAACAATTGCCATGTAGAACAGTAATTAGACCCAGTTAACCACGCACTGAATATAAACGCCTGTGGAAAGAGGATTAATGATTCTAATTAAGGTAAAACGTAAGTGGCAACTAGTTGGGATACCTAGAACTCTATTATGCCTTCCACATATTACCAGTTATGTATATTATCTTGAGCTATGACTCGATAACATTAAATAACATCCAAATTAAAAAATAAAATACTTCTGGAACTAAAGCCTCAAGTTTTACGTTCACATTCTAGAAAATGGCATATTATCCCATAATAAAGATAAGGCCATTTACAATGACGAACTAATGTGTGGTGACCAATGTCATGTTTGTCTAGTCATTTATACACATCAAATTCTATCAATCAAGTTTCTGTGTGCCCACTCTTCTCAATTAGTCGACATCGCCTGCACTATGTTTAGCTGTCAGGTTTTTGGTAGTACTCAGCATAAAATCCAAGATCTAGGTTTCATGCTACTAGAAAAATGATTTTCGCTGTTTCCTGCAAACTACCCCATACCACGTAACGTTGACTGTGCCGTTACAACTGTAAGCGACTGACATGTTTTTAAATGAAGACAGTATCAGAAACTACGTTAAAGCGGACTACATATGTCAGCTGATAGGTTTGATATTTTTCTAGAAAATGAATAATCTTAGATTTCTCGATTAATGTCAGTAAGCTTATTTTAACAGGAACAGACTGATAATTATTCTCATGTGAATAATGATTGTTTGTGAAATATATGTTCAAAGTTCAAAGATAGGTGTTTAAACTAATCTATTTAGAAAAACCTGTTAATTTGTTAGTTGAGATACTTCCAAATATCTCGACTAAACATCTTTTAATTAAGCAGCTTATGGATTGGTATCGGCTGTGACATCATTGAAAATCAAAGTGAGCCGAACGAATATTCAACTTTTTATTACTACTCAGAAGTGTACATCCACAACTTTGTCTGGATCATATTTAAAATCTTCAGGTGTTATGAGGGAACTTTCGATAGATTTTCAAAAATTAGTTACTAACGTAAAGTATTAAATTATTTGTTTTGTAATCGAAATAATCCATGATTTTCTTAAGTGTACTCAAATTAGGCACATCTCTTCACTAGCTTAACCAACAGTTTTTTTTGAAGGATTGCACTTGGAATATGAATCTCGTCCATTTTATAAAGCAGAAAGGAAGTATCTCTAGAAAAAATATTTTAAGTTTAAACCATTTAGTTACTTAAATGTTTTACGGAACATTTTCGTAAAGATACGTTGATTGAAGAACCCTAAAAGAATCAAAGAACATCAATTAATCGTTGTCATTTAGATCAATAGTTATCATCTATATTCATCTATTGTTTATTACTCAAGATTTACAGGTTATGTGACGAGCCTGATTTGTTTTAATCAATAGATAAACCAAAACTATGTATTCCTGCTAATGGTAGCCTATTAACTGGAGTTCAATAAATTTCAATAAAAGATTACAGATAATAAAACGTTTATAATTCAAAAGGGATTGGATA